TCCGCGCGGAGGCCAAGCGCGCGGCTCTGCACGCGCTGCCTGTGACCGAAGAGGCGGGGAGGGGGGGGCTGAAGCGAGGAGTCGCCGCGCGAAACGCGCGGCTGCTGCCCGCGCTGCCTGTACTCGCCCACGGAGAGGTCGACTAGCTGCGTGACGCGGCCGGTGAGCGGCAGCGCGGCGAGCGGGGAGGGGGGAGGGCCGAGCAGCTTGCGGCGCGCGGTCCGCCTGTCGACATGTCTCGGACACGTCGTGGACGTGCCATGGACATGTCCCAGATTGCGGCGCGCGGTCCGCCTGCGAGGACGCGTCATCGGACGGCCAGGGCGCCCGTCATCGGCATGTCCGAGAGGGTGTGCACTCCTCGGCATGTCCGAGAGGGTGTGCACTCCTCGACATGTCCGAGAGGGTGTGCACTCCGACGGTGCACTCCGATCACTCCACGCCGGCGACCTCTCGGCGAATCTCGGCCGGATCTCGGCCGAATCTCGGCTAATCTCGGATGCCCGTCCGACCACACCACGCCGCCGGCGGGGTTGTTGGTGAAGCACTGGTCCCACTCGCCGTCCAGCAGCGCCGAGCTTGCTGCCCGCGGTGTCGGGTTGCGCGCCTCGAGCTCCGCCAGCACCTAATCTCGGGTGATCTCGGGTGATCTCGGGTGATCTCGGGTGATCTCGGGTGATCTCGGGTGATCTCGGGTGATCTCGGGTGGTGGTGGTGGTGGTGGTGTGTGTGTGTGTGTGCGCGCGCGCGTGAGTGAGTGTGTGTATGTGTGTGCGTGCGTGTGTGCGTGTGAGTGATAGAGTGGTGAGACTGCCACACCTCGCGAACTTCCTCCAGATCCGCCGCCGTCGCCGCGGCGCCTCCGGCCGTGCGCGCGGCGAGGCGAAAGAGCCGCGCCTTGACGGTCCGTCAAGCAACAGCGAGATCACCCGAGATCGCCCGAGATCACCCGAGATCACCCGAGATCACCCGAGATCACCCGAGATCGCCCGAGATCGCCCGAGATCGCCCGAGATCGCCCGAGATCACCCGAGATCACCCGAGATCACCCGAGATTACCCGAGTTCACCCGAGATCACCCGAGATCACCCGAGATCGCCCGAGATTGCGCGAGATCGTCACGCCTTGACGGGGCCGACGGGCAGCAGCGAGCGCAGCGACGGCGCTGTCGGGGCGGCGGCAGAGGGCGGCGCGGCGTCGCCGAAACGCCGGCGCACGAAGCCGGAGAGGGCGGCGGCGAGGTCGGCCGGGCTCTCCTACTCCCGCGCCTCTCTGGCTCTTTCTTGACGCGTGCTCTTTCTCGACGTGGCTGCGGGGGAGGACGGCGTGCCTATGGACATGTCCCGGACATGTCTCGGACATGTCTCGACGTGGTTGCGGCGGGGAGGAGCGGCGCTCTCTCTCCCACACGAGCACGTTCCAGCCCGGCAAAAGCGACGTCTCGAGTGCTCCCGCCGCCACCGCCGCCGGCATCGCTGCCTCGAACGCGCGCGCAGCGGCAGGTAAGCCGAGGTCCCGCCGGGATAGACCCGAGAGATCCGAGGTGCAGGCGAGGTACAGGCGAGGTACAGGCGAGGTACAGGCGAGGTGCAGGCGAGGCACAGGCGAGGTACAGGCGAGGTACAGGCGAGGTTCCGCCGAGGTACAGGCGAGGTCCCGCCGAGGTTCCGCCGAGATGCGACGCCTCGTAGTCGCGCAGCTTTGCCTCCGGGTCGAGGCCGAGGTCCCTCCCGACCTACAGGGGAGATGTGGGGAGATGTGGGGAGGTGTGGGGAGATGTGGGGAGATGCGGGGAGATGTGGGGAGGTGTGGGGAGGTGTGGGGAGATGCGGGGAGAGGCTGAGGTCTCTCGCGACCTTTCAGAGAGGGAGGGAGGGAGGGGGGGGGGGGGGGGCACCACACGGTGCAGCTTCAGAGACGACGCGGCGTGGAGGGAGACACACACACACACACACACACACACACACACACACACACACACACACACACACACACACACACACACACACACACACACACACACACACACACACACACACACACACACAGCCTCCCGCCTGCGCGAAGCTGCCCGCCCCTTGGTCGCGCCCGCTCCGCCACACCGCGAACCAGCGCAGCAGCCCGCGGATCGAGGTGCGGTCCACACCTGTGCATGTGCGGGCCACGTCGTGGACACGCCCCGCAGAGAGCCGCCGATCGAGGCGCGGTGCGTGCTCCCTCTGCGGCGGGCGGCGCGGGCGGCGTCTGCCCCTCCTCCCCCCTGCCGACGCCTCCGCCTGCGGCAGCGGTGGTGGAGGAGAGGGTGAGGAGGGAGGCAGCAGTGTGTGCGTTGCGAGCGTGCGCGCGCGCGCGCGCGCGCGTGTGTGTGTGTGTGTGTGTGTGTGTGTGTGTGTGTGGCCTGCGGCCGCCGCCGCGCCGACGTCGCTGCCCGAGAGGACGAGAGTGGGCGTGGCGAGGGCGGCGAGCAGCGGCCGGTAGTCCTGCCGCCAAGTGCCGGCGACGAAGGAGAAGACGGCGTGCCTATGGACATGTCCCTCACGAGACATGTCTCGGACATGTCCGAGACATGTCCGGACATGTCTCGGACAAGGAGAAAACGGCGTGCCGCGTGGCCGCGTCGGCGGCGCCCGCCGCGCACACGTCTAGGTAGTCGTCGTCGACCTGTTCACGGCTGCAGCTGTGAAGAGACGCCGTTCACGGCCGCACGGCGACGGCTCCTCGGCCGGCGACGAGGGCAGGGTCGGCGAAGAGGTTCTTCTTGGAGAAGGAGGCGAGGAAGGGCTTTCGGCGCGCGAAGCGGAAGAGCGCCGCGCCGACGGGTGACCCGACGATCCGCCACACCTGCGAACAAGCGTGTCCGGCGCCGGGTGACGCCTCGTGTGTGTGTGTGTTGCGGCCGGTGCGAGCGAGCCATTCCCCACGCCTTTGCGATCGCCTCGGGAGACTTGTCGAGGGAGAGCGCCTATGGACATGTCTCGGACACGTCTCGGACATGTCTCGGACATGTCTCCTCTCCGAGCTTGTCGAGGGAGAGCGCCTCGACGGCGGGAGGGCCGAGCAGCACCACGCCTGACCCGACAGGAGACATGTCTCGGACATGTCTCGGACATGTCTCGGACATGTCTCGGACATGTCTCGGGAGGGCCGAGCAGCACCACGCCTGACCCGACAGGGCATCCTCTTGCAGCCGCCGCGTGAGAGGCGACAGCGCTGCACTGCTGACGGCAAGAGAGGCGAGAGGCGAGGTGTGTGTATGTGCGGCAGAGGCGACGCGAGGTGTGTGTACGTGCGGCACGGCCACAGAGGCGAGAGGCGCTCGATGCCTTTGACGGCCTCTGGGTCGAGCGCCGCAGCCTCGAGCGCGACGGTGCAGAGGTTGCTCTGCCCGACGACGACGCACGGCTCGCCCACCTCCTCGGTGATGTACGCGACGACCTGCTCCGCCCACTCGCGCGGCGTGCGAGGCGGCTCCTCCCAACCGCCGAGCAGCCGCCTCTTCATGCGCGGCTTCGGGCTGGAGTCGCCCATGCCGATGACGTCGATCGCGTGCAGCGTGGCGCTGGGCGAGGCGACCGCCCACGCTTCGAGGAGGCGGCCGCAAAATGTCCGGTCGATCCCGACGCCAATCGGAGGAAGCAGCACGACTGGCGGCAGTGCTGGCGAGGCGGCCGACGCGGGCACGACGGAGCTCGTGTAGGTGAAGCCATTGTAATTGAGCAGCCGAGTACGGATCACGTCGATGGGGAGAGCTGGGCTCACCGCCGAGGTGGTGGCGGCGAGAAGAGCCGACGCGAGTGTGTGCAGAGGCATTTCACCTGAGCCGACGCCGACCCGGAAAGTGCGGCAAAAAAATAGCGCCCGCACGTGTAGGCGCGCATCTGAGCCAAGGAGGGGAGCTCGATAGACTTGAGGGGCCAGGATACGCCGCGAGGAGGACGGAGTTGCGCCGAAAGGCGAAAGAAGCCGCGAGAACAAGGGACCGGCAGGCGGCGGCGCCGCAGGACGAGGCAGAAGAGAACGACGCGACAGAGGAGGAAGTGACAAGGGAGAGAACGACGAGAGTGGGACGGCCGCGAGGTGGCATGAAGGTTGCAGCGAGAAGCGGCGAGAGACTGCGAAAAGAGATACGAAGAGGCAGACTCCCCAGGGTGGGCGACGGCTAGCGCATCACACTCCTCTCCTTAAAATCCCTGTGTGGTGGCGGCGTTCCGTTCTCCCATCCCTCCCTTGGGTTGTCTGTCTTCTTTCTTTCTTTCTTTGAGCCAAGGCTCGCGCCTACACGTGTAGCTGCTTGTGTCAGATACGCGCCCACACGTGCAGGTGCGAGCCCTAGCTAACATGAGCGCCTCCACGTGCAGATGCGCATTTGGCGAGCTCGAATATAAGCGTCTACTCGTGCAGGCGCTCGTTTTAGCTAAGAAACGCGCCTACCTACACGTGTGAAATATATTTCACCGTGATGAGCCGACCCCCCGGGGGGCGCGTGTGGGTGCCGCTAGACGCGCTTTCCGTTTCAAACTCATGGCATCCCTCATGTGGCTGGGTCGACCGCGCGATGTGCAAACCTCTGTGAAGGCATGTGTACACGTGTTTCACCTGAGCCGACGCTGACCCGGCAAACCCCGGAAAGTGCCGGTGTATTCTTTTTTTGCTTGGCCCGACGGGAGGGCCCAGACCTACCCTACCTACCCCGGCATGACGTACGGCCAAGCAAAAAAAGCATACACCTGGAAAGTGCGGCAAAAATAAGCGCCTGCACGTGTAGGCGCGCATCTTAGCCAAGGCTCGCGCCTACACGTGCAGCTGCTTGTGTCAGATACGCGCCCACATCCAATTTTTTTCTAGGTTGTACCTGCCCGCGCCCCGGTGACGTGAGTCGTGAGTATTCTCTCTCGTAACTCATTCGCGCGGGCGAGGGCAGCGGCATTGGATAAGACGCACTGAAAAACAAACCCGTCATCGCCGGCGTCTGTCTCACCGACCTTATCGTGACACGATTTATGGCCGATGACCCGCTTGACAGCTGGCTCAAGCGCGTCGAGGACTACATTCGGAAGCACGGTGCGACAGAGCTTGGCGTGCTTGGACAGCCACATGCAGGCTTGAGCCGACCAGCGGGCATTCCAAGCATCAAAGCAGCTCTTCAAGCGCGCCCGCAGCGCTTTGCGCTTGAAGTCCACAGCAGCAGCGGATGTGTAGTCCACCTGTCCGCTGTTGCCAGCGGCGATGCGTCGCAATACAACCATAAATTCACGGACGGCAACATGCATGACGCCTTTCTCGCGCTGCTCAGGCTGAACAGAGCCTTCAGGCGGTCAGCGTGGCCAACTCGCCGCGACCAAGTGGATGTTTCCGGGCAGGTGCTGTATGCGATGAGTCGCGGCGGCTACGTGAAGGTCACCGGCGGCACAACGCTCAAGTGGTCACAGCCCAGGATCCAAGACGCCATCACCAAGATGCCGGACTATATCGTGGCGGCGGCCACGCCCGCCAACGCACCCTCACCTCCACCGCAGCAGGAGCAGCAGGCGACGCATGCGCCCGCTCAGCAGACGAGCGCGCCAGAGCCCGAGCATGCGCCCGCTCAGCAAACGAGCGCGCCAGAGCCCGAGGGCGAGGCCTTCAAGGCTATGCAACGCAACGTCCTAGGTGACTACAGCCTCATCCTCGTCGACAATGAGGAAGCACTGCTCACTGCCCAGGCGCACTGTGCTGACGTCATTGCGAGCGCGCCTGCGACGGTCGCGGTCGATTGCGAGGGCGTTCCCGATGGGCTCGACTTGGTGCAAGTGGCGATACGTGCGGACGCCGGCCCGACGGTCCTCGTGTTTGATTGCGTCAAGCTGACGCCCCGCCGCGTGTGCGAGTGTCTGCGTGACATCCTCATCTCGCCTGCTGTTACCGTGCTCTTTCACGACGTGCACAAGGACGCGTACGCTCTCGCGATCCACGGCGGCGTGCCCGTGCTACACGGCGTCGTCGACACGCAGCTGGTCGCCGAGTTCGCATGGGGCGACGTCTTCGTCGGCTTCAACAAGCTCATGCAGAAGAGCGGCAGCTCGACCCACCCGACCAAGTACGCGATGAAGGCCACCATGGGCCAGAGCCTCTCCTACTGGAAGAAGCGCCCGCTGCGCCCGACGGACGTTGAGTACGCCGCGCTCGACGCGACGCTGCTGCTCGAAGCCCTGCCGAAGCTCATGGACCTCGTCGGCGATGCATGGCTGCCGATCATGGCCGCGTCGAGGGAGCGTGCCGCTGCGGCGATCGATGGCGACGGCGCTCGCTCCATTGGCTTCGACATGGCTAGCGACTACGCTCTCGCGAGCACTGAGCTCTTGCGACACGTAAGGCCGGCAGACCTCTTCGTCTGCACTCCACTGCTGGCGGAGACAGACAACGAGACGGTCGTCAACCTGCTGCCTCGCGACATGCGCCAGAAGCTCAAGACTGCTGAGGGGAAGCCCTTCTTTGGCCTGTTCGGAGGGACGGGCACCAGTGACGTCGCCACGCCTTCGACCGTCGAGATGGACCGTCTGAGCGATGTCGTGCTCGACGTGGGACGGCGGCCGCTCTGCTGGGTCGATGGAAGCCGTGTCTTCTTGTGCGATCGCGAGCAGCGGCTCGTCAACCGGGACGACGTCGACTACGTCACGCGCCAAGTCGGTGCCTTCGGAACGGATCGGCGCGCGGGGATGGACCGCAAGCTGCACCGCATCAGCGCGATGTTCAACCGCGACGAGCGCATCGCGGGCCTGACCATGCGCCTCGGGCGCTCAGTCCGCGGCAACGCGGACATGATCGTCGACCTGCTGCTCGGCAGCTCCAAGAGCATCTTGGTGCTCGGCGAGCCTGGCGCCGGCAAGACGACGATCATCCGCGAGTGCACGCGGATCCTCGCGGAGCGACACAACACGGTGGTGGTGGACACCTCCAACGAGATCGCCGGCGATGGCCTGATCCCGCACGCCTGCATCGGCCTCGCGCGGCGCATGATGGTCCCATCGCTCGATCAGCAGAGCGCGGTGATGATCGAGTGCGTCCAGAACCACACGCCGCACGTGATGGTCATCGACGAGATCGGCCGGCCCAAGGAGGTGAACGCGGCGCGCACCGTGAAGCAGCGCGGCGTGCGCATGATCGCCTCGGCGCACGGCGACCTGCGCCGGCTGCTGAAGAATGCCGAGCTGCAGGGCCTCGTCGGCGGCGTGACCAGCGTGCTGCTGGGCGACGCGATGGCCAAGGAGGAGGCGAGGAGGAAGGGCGGCGAGGTCCACAAGATGAAGGCGCAGCGAGGCGGCGAGCCGACCTTCGATATGATCATCGAGGTCCGTCGCGGCGCGTTGCACGAGTGGCGCGTCACCACCGACGTGGCGCACGCGGTGGACAAGATCCTTGAGGGGGAGGAGTACAAGGTGCAGATGCGCACACGCGATCCGGAGACCGGCTCCATCTGCCTTGAGCTGACGCGCGCGTGAGAAGACACAGGGGCGTGCCTCGCGTGTCTCACAGCGGCCTTTCATCCGTCCTGAGTCGAGGGCGGCGCGGCCATTGCCGAGCTCCGCAGCCAAAGGCCTGGGCGTCTGCTGATGGTCGCGCCGCCCCGCTCCGCGTCGCCCGCCGCCGCGCCGCCCCGCCGCGCCACCCGCCGCCGCGCCGCGCCGCCGCTCGATGATTAATAATTAATAATTATTATCCTGATCACTAACTAATAAATAAGTAATTACACCACCCAGCTGTACCCTCATTACCCTCGACTGAATACTTCCCCCCAAGGGAATTCTGGGATACATACTATTAATAATTAAACGCTTCGAGAACAAAGAAAAAAATTCCTTGCCGTGGCTCCCTCGTCTGCAGCTGCTTGCCGCTGCTTGCCGCTTTGAAACCTCTCGCCATACATGCTGCAGCCACCCTGCACGCTCACCGTCCCGGCGTCCCGCGGCGCGCTCCACGCCGCCGCGGAGCGCGTGGCGTCGCAGCTCTCCTCCGCTGCCTCTGCGGCGGACGTGGTCGTCTGCCTCAAGGGCGGTGTGCACCAACTCCCAGTGCCGCTGGCCCTTGGGCCACAACACAATCATCCCTCCGGCCGGCGCGTAATCTGGCGCGGCGCGGCGCTGCCCTCCGCACCGACCACCCTCTCTGCCGGCGCGCCGCTGCTGCGTTGGGTGCGGTGCTCGCACCTCGACCCGGCCACGCCTCCAGAGTGCGCGGGGCCCGAGTGGGACGGCGTCTGGGCCCACGCCGCGGACGACGTGCCGCACGTCACGCGGGCCGCGCTGCCGTTCCGCCAGCTGTGGGTGGGCGCGGCCAGACCCTAGATGCCACGTGCGATGCGGGTGCGCCGGCTCACATTGTGGCTCTTATACCGTGCGGGTCGCCAAGAGCGTGCGGGTGGCGTGCGGTGCGGGTGGCTTGGCTCACACGCCGGCTCGGCTCTTGTACCAAGGTATCCCCGCACTCCAACCCGCGCTCATTCCTGCGCGTGTCGAGACGCGCTGCTCACGCAAAGACCCGACCCCTGTCGTCGCACCTCTAGGCGGCCTGCGCGCACCCCGCGCCACCGCCCGCACCGAAGCGTGGAACCTCTCGACCACCGCCGAGGGATACTCTGCGCGCGGGGTGGTGCCGGGCCTCGAGTGGGCCGCGGCGGAGCTGCGTTGGCCGTCGCAGGTGCAGAACTGGATCGAGCCGCGCTGCGCGGTCGATCGCGTCGCTGGGAGGCGCGTCATCGTCTCGCGGCCTTGCTGGGCTGCGCTCACTGCGCGCAAGGGCGGGCCGCCGCCCGCGCCTCTCCTCGTCGAGAACCTGCTCCGCCCGCCGCCCGCCGGCAAGCTGCAGCGAGGTGCTATGTCTGTTCCCAGAGCTTTCACGGACGCCTCTCGGAGCCTTCCCGCAGGCCAGTTCGCGTGCAGCGACCGCCACGTCTTTTACCGCCCGCGCGAGCCGTACGGAGGGCCTCCCCGCGACGCGTGGGCGCCGCTGCACGAGGCGATCCTCCAGGCCGAGGGGCTTGCGAACCACTCCTTCCAGCGGCTGGCCTTCTCGCACGCGACGTGGCGGCAGCCCTCGACACCAGAGGGGTACGTCCCGACGCAGAGCCTCGTCACGCCGCTCGGAGAGCCTCCCGGCGCCGTCTCACTCGGACGCGCGCGCGGCGTGGCGGTCGACGGCTGCTCCTTCGCCAACTTGGGCAGCGCGTACGCCCTGTCGGTCGGAGGCGCGAGCCAGCAGGTGTCCGTGGTGGGGAGCAGCTTCACGTCGCTCGCGGGAGGGGCGGTCAAGCTGGGGAACGTCGACGACGAGCGGGCCCTCGCGACCAGCCCGGAGCGGATGGACTCTGCGTTTCGGGTCGTGGACAACACCATCAGGTTAGCCGCGCTCGAGCTGCGCGGTGCCGCCGCCATCTTCGCGGGGTACGTCCGCGACACGACCATCTCGCACAACAGCGTCGCCGAGACGGGGTACACCGCCATCTCGCTCGGCTGGGGGTGGGGCACGCACGTGCTTGGCCGCCAGACCTTCATGCGGAACAACCACGTGGTCTCCAACCGGATGGAGCGTGTGGTGTCGGCTCTGAACGACGGCGGGTGCATCTACACGCTCGGCCCTCAGCCAAACTCGACCGTGTCGCTCAACTACTGCGAGGCCGACCGCGCACCCGTGGTCGGGTCCTTCTACCACGACAATGGCCCGTGCCCCCGCCTCCGCCACGTCGCGCCGGGGCCCCTGGCGATCATTCACTCGTCGGCAATCGGTCCGTGGTAGGATCGCGCTACTTCCGCACGACACGCAACGTCGCCTCCAACTCGCCCGCGCCCTGCGTCTACCTGCAGGGCTGCTGCGGCGCACCCGCACTCGACGCGCGCCGGACCGCCCCGCGCGCCAGAGCCGGGGAAGGCAGCACTGACGGCCCTTCCCCTCGTGGTCCAGGTGGCCGTGTCGCTCGTCTGGTGCCGCGGCGAGGCGCCGCTGCGCAACAACTGCGCACCGGCCGAGGCCAACTGCTCGCTGGCCTACCCCGGCCTCGCCGCGGACTGCCATTGCGCCGTCGACAAGGCGACAGTGGTGAGCGTGCCAGCGCACGAGGCCTCGACATCGCCGCCAGAGGGAGGTGGGGGCACGGACCGCGTTTCACGGGATCGCCGTCGTCGGGTGATAGGCGTGGCCAGCCGAGGCGCAGGCGGTCGTCGACGCGGCGGGCGCGAGGGGCAGAGGAGTAGGCCTGGGAGGACTTGGAAAGACGCGCGTGGGACTTGCGTGACACAACTATATCTTGTTCTTCTAAAGTATAAGATGTCACGACCTCACGTGTATCAGAACGAGAAGGGAGCGTGTGGGGTAGTGGAATGACGCCATGTGAACGGCGGCTTGCAGAGGGGCATCGCACGACCAGAGAGTGGACGTGTCCCATTTGGTAGGGCTCTAGCGGGCCGCCGCGATCATAGGACACGCCCTTACCAGGAGCAGTCCCCCTCAGGCGTCCTCTCTATCCACGCCTCGCGTGCTCACGCTCCCGCTCTCTCGCGAAAACCCCGCCACCAACCCCTCTCTGCCTGTCTGCCCCCTGAATAGTTAGTGAGGTCCACATGCCCAACCACCTACCTCTGTGGCGGGGGGGGAGGGGGGGGGAGGCAGCCGGGGAACGACCAGCGCGCCTTCTTGGCAGCCGCTCGCCCCCGACTCCATGTGTGCCATTTGCCGAAGAATTTCAGCCCTGTCCCAAAAGCAAAATCAGACGGTGGGTTCGAGTCCCAGCTACCCCCGGGTACGCTCGGCTGTGATTGGACGCCTTCCACCGACCCCTCATGCCGAAGCGTCCCTGGGAAGAAAGCGATAGCGAGGACGAGTCCGATGACGGCGAGGCCGAGGATCTCGCTCTCGCTCTCTTCGTCGCCTCAGCCAAGCGCGCAGACTTCTGGTCGCACGCCTGCCGCCCGCCAACACCGGCCGAAGCTGTCGACGCGGACGACGCTGTGTGGTCCGCAAAAGCCCGCGGATACGTCATCGCGCCTGCAGGCGGAAAGGGACTCGGCGCCTTCGCCGGAGCCAACGCAGTTGCTGAGGGCGCTCTAGTTGGTGTTTATGCCGGAGAGCTACTGACCGAGGCCGAACACGCCCGCCGGGAGAGCTCGTACTGCTTCTCTCTTCTCCCGCCTGCCGACGAGTTGACCTCGAAGGCGCTGGCCGGTCTCGGGCTCGACGGCGAGGGTAAAGACGACGAGTATATCGCGTACATCGATGGCGAGAACGCCGCGCGGTCGTCGTGGTGCCGCTACATCAACCACGCGCCGCACGGCGCCCGTGCGTGCAACCTGGAGGCGAAAGTGGACGCGATGAAGGCCCTCGTGTGGTTCGAGGCGAGCCGCGACATCGCGCCCGGCGAGGAGCTCTGCTTCGGTACGCGCCCGCCCCTCTCCCTCTGCGCGAACGCCGCCTCTGACCACAGCACGCATCGCTTCCACCCTCAGACTATGGGGAGAGCTACGCGACGTCGACCTTCGAGTAGCCGCCGCTGACGTTGAGCCTCCATTGGGATCGGGGAGGCCCGCCGCCGTCTGTGCACGCGCGCCGCGAGCGAGCGAGCGAGCAAACGAGAACACGCGACGTCAACCTCATCTGCACTCTGCACTAGAGGTTTTGAAGAAGTGAATGAGAACAATTTCAGTTTTCACATCAGGAAAATTAAAAAGGCTCCCTCTGACCCTCAGTCCTCAGCCCAGCCTCTCCCGCGCGAGAGTCCACAACAGGAACTTCCTTACTCTCAGTCGCAAACCCTCTACTTTTTTCGCCTCTGAAATCTTCAACATCCTCCTGCTCTTTGACCTCAACCTCGCGGCCCTCTGCGCGGCCGCCGGCTGACCTGACCTGCGCTGCTGCTACTGCTGCTCTTGCTGCTGATGCTGCTCCTGCTACCCTCC